ATACTAACTTACACTTTTATATATATATATATATATATATATATATATATATAATACCGTTTAAGTGTCCTTTCATTAAAAAATGTAACACCCTAAACGGTGTGTGCAAAAAATAGTAAATATAAAAGCTGAAATTAAAATTTGAAAGCCAGAATTTTGTTTTAATAATTCTAATACATGCTTACTTCAAACGATCTCAACCTGCTTTTTTCTTCAGATAATTGTTTTGTTTGTAGTTAAGTTCCATTAAAATTCTTTCCTCTTTAATTGTTTGTTTTTCGGTAAGATGGAGCATTTCATAGTTTAGTAACGCATGATGCCGCTAGGGGCGCCATTTTATGAACTGTTTCTTCACCTGTTTTTTTATTTAGTTAAATTATCTTTATCTCAAGTTTTCTTAAAATTAATTTCTGAAATTTACATTCAAATGGATTCAGTATTAAGTGCTTTATTATTATTTGATAACTAGTCGATCTCTAAATCAATAGATTACGATAAAAGAGCTATTTCACAGAATTTTTTAATTCAACTTTCGACAATAATTACGAGAAAACATAAAATTGAAATATTTTTAGTAAACAAAAGTATCTAAACCGCCATTAATTCTCAAATATTCTTTAAACCTTCATTATTCTACTTATTAAATATATATTTTTAACTGAAATGTTTATTATTTCACGTTAATAATAATCATAAAAGTTTTTCCCTTCCCCCCTCAACAAGGGAAAAAAGAGTGAATATTTCCTTCCTCGATTATGACAAATCTTGCAACGTTTTTCCTAAATAATCCTTACTATAAAAGCACTCGAGATTTGGTGGGCTTCTCCGATATTAAAATGATTCCATAAAGTATTTCTTGTAAGTAGTTTCCTAAACTAAATAAAAGCAGCAGCAGCAATGTTATTGAAAAAAATATTTATTTATTAAAAGGGAAAATGAAAAGAAGATTTTCCTTCCTAGAGTTAGGGGGAAATGCTTTAGTCAGAAGGACGAGAATAAAGAAGACTCCAGGCGAAATAACAACAGTTACGGTTAAGAAAAGAAAAGAAAAAACAGAAAGGAGAAATATTTTCGAGATTTTAAAATAATGAGCTGTTTCTTGCCCTAAAGTCAAATGATGGGATATATTTTTAATCTTCAGAAGAGAGGCATTTAAAATGTGAACTGCAAAAATTGAATTCAGTTTCACACTATTTTCGAA